CTGTGTTGTACAATCATTGCCAAATCATGTCCAATAGCACAGTCACTCCAAAACTTTTTCTTTCTTCTTGTGCTGCTTGTTATCAGCTCCCCGGTACCCCATCCCTCTCCTGCAGTTCTTATTCTAGTTATTTTCTGGATAGATTCACCCAACCTGGGTTTTATATGCCAAAAATACATAGAAAGATACATAACGGAGATTCAAGAATGCTATCAACAGTAACAAAACACACCTGATAGATGGCCCAATCTGGGAGTGGGGGGAACAGAAAATATTAAAAATCCAATCACACTCAAAGTGTATCCAAAGGGAGATCAAATGACAAGGTTTTCACCATTCCCCCTCTCATTGCTCCTCGGTGACCAATGGGCAGACAGGGAAGAGGGACGACCTCAAACTGCACACACACACACCCTACTGCTGGGCTGTATAGTTTTGGATAAAATGGGCTGCTGAAGGAGAGGCCTTTTGCATAGGGGAGCATCCGAATTTCTGTTCATAACTAACTTTTGTCTCCAGCTTTGGATTCTCTGACTGTGCTTGGGAAAAGATGGAGTTCAAAAATCTTTGCTCAAACATTCCTAACAAGTGGGGGGCAGGGGTGGGGGTGGCTGGTAATCAAGATATTTGGCCTCTGTCTCTGAGGACAGGTTAAAACTGACTAAACAAAAATTCTAGACTTCCCTGTAGATTTGTTTTCCTTCCTGTTTAGTCACTTATAGCTTCAGTAATTTTGAAGTTTTGGATGTTTTGTTTGCTGCTTATATGATGCACTGTGCAGTTCGGTGCAGCAGGGTACAAAACAAGGTTACGGCAAAAAGGATACAGACTAGAGTGGGGCTGTCTTTCTCTCATGCCCCCCACCCCCACCCCACCTACTGTTTGGGCCACCCTGGAGCTAGCAAGAACAAGGGTCTGGTGAGGCTGAGACGGAACCTGTTGCAGGCTCCCCTTCCTTCTATGTTAACTGAGTACCACCATAAAGGCCCGGATTTCTGCCAGCTCTTGCTGGTGAGCTTTGTGTCAGCAGGACCCCTGGAGCAACCAGAAGGTGGACTTGGCGGGGGAAGCACAGTGTGTAGCCCTGTGCCTGCCTTTCTGTTGCTAGGCTGTAGTTACATTACGTTTGTTTCTCTCTCTCACTCCGAATGCTTCTGAGAAGTTTCAAAGGAAGGTAAGTGGTGCATCTCTCGTTTATCTGCGTCTCTTGGTGTCTGCTGGCCCTGGGCAGGGGCTGCTTCTCAGAGGAGGCTTGGCCTCACGCGCTCTCCCACAGAGGTTGCACGGCTGTGGTCACCAGTCTCCTCCCGTGCCCAGGCTGGCCACCAGCTTCTGGAATGAGTGTTAGGAGCTTGGCAGTAGATCTCCCTGTAGTGTTTCTCCCAGAATTCCTGTGCTGCGTGGTTCAGAGAGGCCACCACAGAGCATGCTGACATGTCCCTCCTGATTCCCCACAGGCAGCACACGGGGGTGGTCACCGGACCCTGCTGTATGGCCATGCAATCCTCCTGCGGCACTCTTTCAGCGGAATGGTAAGCCCGTCCTGGGAGTTTGGTTCTCCTTTACAGGAGGAAGCAAGGGTGGGTGGGCTAGGGGAGGAGGACAGGAAACCAGCCATGTCTAGTGGACAGTCATTGGGAATACGAGCAATCATAGAACCGTGTGGTCTCCGCTTCTTCCTTCATGGTACTCACCTCAGTTGGCAACTCTCTATATTTGTAGTTGCTTGGTGTCTGACCCCTAAAGAAACACTGTATCCTTTTTTTTTCCCCCGTCTCACAAAACCTAACCCCCACCAAGCACAATGCCTAGATGTAGCAGATGCTGAATTGATGAACGATCAAACGAACTGGGGTGTAACCAATTTTTATAGTATCCAGATATAGCTAGTGTCGAAGAAAAGCCAGTCAGATGAGACCTGGGTGAAATGCCATCTCTCTTACCCAACTCAGAGAAATGTAGTAGTGATGTTCACTGCCACCAGTCCTGGCAGAATGTGAGGCCATGATTAAGCACTCAGCTGTTAACCTGAAGGTCAGTAGTTTGAAACCCACCAGCCCACCCCTGGAAGAAAGGCGTGGCAGTCCATTCTGGAAATGCTTGGAAATGCTATGGGGTGGTTCTGTTCTGCCGTGTAAGGTTGTTGTGAGCTGGAATTGAGTCCATTTTTATGCTAGCCCAGAGAAGGGAGAGACCCAAGAGGCAAGGCAGCCACCAGAGGCTGATTAGGAAACAAATCACAGTTCACCAGAATGGCGCTTACCGCAATGTCACTTGAAAAAAAAAAAAAAAAAACAGCCACTCATTAGAAAAACGTCGTTTGTCCAATAGAGATGTTGTAGATCTTTTTGCAGTATTCAAGGAGAGGAATAGTGCGACCCCAGCGCAATATAAGCAACAATTCTATCGTGCTCATTCCCAATTCTAAAGTGTATCCTCACTTGTTACCAACAGCAGAAAGATTTGTCGTCTTTCTCTACTTCTAATTTTAAAAGATTTGCACCAATCCAAGACACGGTTCGCATGTTTGCACCTGCAGCGTGCTGCAAAGCTCATCTCCAAGCTGGAACTAGCAAACTGGCAGCCGGAGCAGCAGCTGCCTTTTAAATAATTTATTTATTGCAACTCTTTTCTTTCTTTCTTTTTTATCCTCTGAGCCATGGTAAGAAACTGACCTTTCCAGCCTGAGCATTCATGCATTACAGTCTTTCATGGCAAAAGGCAGAGGGAAAAATGACCACGTGGAAGGTTATCAGAGTAGGAATGGGGGGCACTGAGGGAATAGGGAATAATAGAACTGGGAGAGAACTAGCCACATGGTATTTGACATGTTACTTTTTAATTCAATATTTTATCAATTTTGTTCCATGCTATGCAACTTTCTTGGTGAATTCATCTTATGGAATCTGGTGCTTATCCATAGAGTGAAAAATATCCCAATTCTATTCTTTTCCTGCCTAACTAGAATAAACTAAGCCTCAAACAACACAAATCTCAAGGCTAGTATCATAGTAGATTTAGGAAGGCTTACATTACTTATCAGTAGCTCTCCATCCTCTCCCCACCCCATAAAAAGCAAAATTAAACATAAATTTAAAAAGCGGGGGGGTGGGCAGGAGACAGTTGACATCAATTCCATACTAGCTCCATCCTTTGAAGATGGGCTCGAGGAATACACCTGTGAGATGTGACTTTGGACTGTGTAGTAATCCGACAGCTTCCTGGTGTAGAGAGCTAGAAGTACAGCTCAAGAGATGGCTTCAAGTGCATATCTGCTCCCCACCCACCCTAGTCTAATGCTAAGATGCACACTTATGGGTACCTGCCTATAAGGGAGTCAAGGACACTCTCAGGAGACATCCAGGAGTTGAGTTTCTTTCCTTTTTGAAGCGATAGGCAATCCCTGGGTTACCAATGATATCTGTCCCTATCTCTTTAAGAATCCATAGGCATATGAGACTAAGTGTAAAACATTCTCACCCAGTCTTACTTGCTTGCAAATGGAAGAGCCCTGGTGGGCTAAACATGGAGCTTCTTCTCCCTGCAGGGCTGGCAGGTTAAACCTACCAGCTTCTCCACAAGAGAAAGATAAGACTGTAAAGATGATAGTCCCATAAACAGATACCTTGAGGGGAGGATTTGTTGGACTTGGGAGCTCAGGACCACAGTCAGAGGCCATGAAGGTCGTTTACATAACATCATCCCCAAAGTCGACAGTCAACTTTGGTGTGTAAGGACAGGGGCTTTAAAAACTTGTGGGTAGCCATTGGAGGTGTAACTACTAATCTTTTCCTGTCTGGAGGAAGGAAGAGCGACAAAAATAAAAACACCCAGAAGCAAATGGTCCAATAGACTAAGGGACCATGTGAGCATCACTCTCTACCACCCTGAGACTAGAAAAAGTAGATGGTGTTTGGGTACCACTTCCTGTAGCTCTGAAAGGAATCAGATTAGAAGTTCGGGGATAGAGTGGGAGAAAGAGATGAAACAACTCCCTAAAACCTTGCAGGGGAGAGCAGAGGCTCGGAAACGCCTGGGGTTATGCTCTTTAGTCACTTTTTGGGGCTGGAACTGAATTCACCTCAGTGGCTCCATTTTCAGTCAATTGCGTGTCATATAATATTTCATCCCCCAAAAAGTTACAAGGCTCAATCCGTTTCTATTGCGTCTAACTTAAAAGTGTTCTTCAGGTGTCTTTGGACTAGAGCATCTTAAATATTTCTAATTTACTGCATTTCTTTATTATGTAGTCCTACCAGTTAAGTGACTGGGTCCTTAGATAAGAAGAGTTTCGATGCTTTAAATATATTGCAGAATCTTCTCTGAAATCATGGTACCAATAAGCTTTCAGTGAGCAAGGTGAATGAGCCCTTTTCTCGGTAGCGTTGGAAGATTGTCACTTCACCAGCATCTGCTCTTGTTCCACAGTATCTAACATGTTTGACTACATCAAGATCCCAGACAGATAAGCTTGCCTTTGATGTAGGTCTGCGGGAACATGCCACAGGTGAGTCAACCTTCCCAGACCTTGTGCTCAATGGGGTCTTAGGCTGGGCTCTTTCAAGAACACTTCATTGGTTATTCATTTGAGGTTCCAAACAAATCTAGTAAAGAATATAGCTGATACAATTCTAAAACATGATGACGTAAAGAAAAAGATGTGAGGTAGAGACTTGGAAGCTAAGAATGAAGGAGAAAATAGTAGAGGCTTTTTTCAGAGGCTTTTTTTAGGTTGAGGTACTGAAAATATATGTGGATAAATCATTGTTGCTAGTAAATTCTGGTAATACCAAATAACTGCCCCCAAATTAAAGGTGACCTCTAAGGACTAATACATATACCTAGTATACATACATATATAATAAGCATACATATACATATAGAGTGAACCCTCGTTTATCACGGTTAATCAGTTCTAGACCCTACCGTGATAAATGAAATTCCGCGAAGTAGGATTCCTTATTTGTAAATCAAATATTTTCGTAGTTAGAGCATAGAGGACATGAAAAAACACCCTTTAGTCACCATTACACTCATATTACCCAATTTATTAAATGAAAAATGGAAAATACAGTAAAACATTTTGGACGTTACAATTATCATTTATTATTTATTATATTATTTAAGGCATCAAGCGTGTACAGTATGAGCCAATCAGTGGCAGTAATGACAGAGCATGCGCTGTTACGCAAAAACCGCGATAGAGTGAAGCCGCGGAAGTCGAAGTGCGAAGTGGCGAGGGTTCACTGTATACATATACATAGGGTACAGATAACACACATATATGTAGTGTTTAGATCAATGCAGTGTTCCCATTTTTGTTGTGTAATAAATTAGCTTTCTTTAAGCCAGTATTTCTCGTAGTCAGGGTCATCCACTATTGGGTTTTTAACCATTCCAACATATCCCATTTTTTACCATTTTTATGTTTTTCTTTCAACTTACTTACTTTTGAACTTAAAATGTTACAGTTATATTACTTCTCAAAATAGAAATCAAGTATTACTTACAATAGAAGTAACATGATTTTTTAAAAGCATGTTAAATGATTGAGGCGATGCTAACAAATATTTAAAACTTGGTGTATGGATGAACAACAAACTAAACTCTTATCTGGTAGAATGAGAACACTTTAAAATGGTCAAAAGAAAGCACAGTTCTCACTCTATGATTATGTATCATTCAGGTATCTTTTACTATCAGTGGGATATGGCATCTACTTGTGAAACACTGTAATTTTTTAAAAATATGGTCAAAATGCATCCTAAGGATGGTAATGTCCAGGACGATGCAGTTTCCTGCTAGACACGAAGGACTAAGGGCTAAGACATACCTGAAATCATTCAAACACTTCCTATGGATTATTCCAAAGACCAGTGGTGCATTCCCACACTGAAGGAACCCACTTTGTAATAGCTGGGATTACCCAGGAAAGAAACACTGGCTGCGAGTATTTGCAGCAGTCCGATCACATGTCAAAGGCATCATATGGGGAATTGCTGCTCCATTCCAGAGGTCGTGCTCTGGACCAGTCAGGATACGTGATCTGGATGAAATCAAGCAGGATGAGGATTGAGCATGTACTAGAAAGACACTGAGTAGAATCTACAGCTGAAAGCTTGGAAGACATGATCGGGAACAAAGGCTGGGAAGTTATCCTAGGTCACATTGTGGAAGCAGCTAGCTTCCTTGTGGTCTCAACTACCATGACAACCCTCCCCCACCAAAGGGAATGGGGCTGTAAGTCTGAGTACCTGGAGAAGAGCAAGAGCCCGTGTTGTTATTCTGCGATGCATTTAATCTTTAACCTTGCGTTCCGGGGTGGAGGGTGGGAATAATAGTGTAAACTGCTGGCACCTGGCGCTGCTGTCCTGCGCCTTGCAGAGTGGTATTCGAAGAATGCCTGGGAGACCCTCTCTCCCTCCTGCTCTTCCTTCTGTTCTGGTGCCACGCAGCAGAGGGGACTTGTGTATGCCTGCCATCTTTATTTCCCCTAAACCAGGACTCTCTTGAATTTGGAGTTTTCTTTGCTTTCAGCTAGTGTTATTCTTTGAATATAAAATTCCTCCAAGGTGTTGTCAACCTTTGCTGAAAAGTACAAAATAAGTGAAGTGTGTCACACACTCTGTGAATGTTAAGATGGCCTCTAAATATAAGCCAGCTGTCAGTCTTTGAACACGTGATTGGAAAAGTTATATATGTTCATTCTATTTATATCAGTGACATGACTTTCAGTTTTCTCAGAGTTGAGAAACAGAAACACCATTTTCTAGTCACGTGATTGAAAAACCCTATTTTACTTAATTATTAGAGCCTCTGATAAAAATAATGGGAAAATGCAATTCTCTTCAACACCTCCTTAAATTTCTCCATGAAACCAAGCCGTATTTTTAAAATTTGGCTAACCAAACACATGAACCAACTGAAATTCAAGTTGACCAATCAAGGTGTGCAATAGCATTGAACAGCTCTGCTTGAAGACCTACAGTCAAATAATCACCCTTTATCTTCCTCACCCTCCAGCCATATAATGTTCTCTAAGAACTCTAGCTTGGTGTTTGTGAGGAAGAGGAAAATGCAGGTATACAGCCCAAGTCGTGATCAGACTTACTTCCTGGAGTGAGTCTTCTGAGTTTGGGAGCAGAGTCAGATGGAATCCTATAGTCTAACACCCTGCTGCCTGCCTAGATAATTTATGGCTCAAAGACTTACTTAGAATTGTAAACAAGTAGAATGCTGAATAATAATACATATACCCACTTCTGTGGAGTTGATTCTGACCTATAGCACCCTATAGGACAAAGCAGAATGGCGCCAGATGGCACCCAAGGGTGTCAATCTTCACAGAACTGAATGCCACCTCTTTCTCCCAGAGAGCAACCAATGGGTTTAAACCACCTACCTTTCAGTTTGTAGCCTAATGCTTAACCTCCTCTGCCATCAAAGCTCCTTTGAAAATACTGAATAGTTGAATTGAATTACTAGAAGAATGTGAGAGGAATTTTTGGGGGGGCGGTGATGAGGGGGAGTGTAGGGAGTTCTTTAAATGTGAAATGTCTTTCCTTGAAACGCTGGCTAAGGAGCCAAGTGGCACAGTAGGTTGAGCGTTGTACTGCTAAGGAAAGGTTGGCCATTCAAACCCACTGCTGACTCCAGGAGAATGACGTGGCAGTCTGCTTCCATGAAAAGTTACAGCCTGTGAAACCCGAAGGGACAGTTCTACTCTGTCCTAACGGGTGTCAGTGAGTCAGGTTTGGGGTACACTAGCTCATCAATGGTTCGACTTAGAGAACTGGTGGTCATTTGACCCTTGATTTCAGTTACTGAATTTTTTCTGTTCTCCTCTTTAGAGGTTCTTGTGTTTCTAGGATTCAGAACATTTTCGAGTTTATATAGGACTAAGGAAGGTTGGGGTGCTGTGACACACTACATGTGCTATTACGTAATTTACGGCCTTTGGCCCGTCCTGTGTTCCAGCACCCAGATCCATCCCCGTAGACCCCGGGAGAACAAGACTATGCTGAAATATGCCCCTTCCGGAACCCCGTCTACATCATGGGTGCTTTTGTTAGCCCACTGGGCATGTTGAGGATATATGAGGAGGGTTCAAAAGTTTCTCTGGAAAATGGGATCAAAAGATGATGGAAAGTGTCCACAAACTTCTGAAGCCTTCTGTACATTCGATTGTCCTCCTTCGGTGTAGAGGTCAGCTGCTTTTGTCATATGATTTTCGATGTCATCAAAGTCAGACCCCTAAGTAAAGAGAGAAATCGCACCCTAGACTAACTAACAAGAGCACTCACCTACCTGCCCTCCTCGTTCTGGATCGCTGCCCCCCTGAGGCTCTTGCACTGGTGTTCCCCACTTGTCTGTGGATAATGAGTCTACTGCTTGCTCACTCAGTGTTGTTCTGGTTTAAGTATCATCTTTGGGGGTCCTAAATAAATAGCATTTTCCCACATTCTGTTCTTTGATCTTCTCTTCCCACCCCCAATATATTTACATCTATTTTTATGTACCAAATCAATATCGATAACTATCATTTGCAAATGAGCAGTGTAATGTCAGATTCATGTTCTTGTGTTAATTTAATTGTCTCATTTATTAGTTTGCTGTGTTCCACTCACTTGTTTATTTTCAAACGGTCCCAGAAAGCACAGTATCTTTTCTATCTGTTGTATCTTCTTCTTAGAGACTTCGTGATTGGAATCCCCCGTGTTTTGCCCCAATAAGGACTGGCCGGACCCTCACCATGCCACAAAGCCTTGATCCTGGAGCTTCCCATTGTCACCATCCAATTGCCTTTGCCTCTCTCCTGGAATCTTTGTGTCTCCCTCATGGTTTGCACCTCACTTTAGTGTGGAGCACATTATCCCAAGCTTTTACAGAAAATATTCGTGGGAGGTAATTTTTTTTCTTAAACATTTCTTAATTCTAGCTTCAAAAGTAATTCATTACATCATTCTCGTGGCTTCTGACTCACAGCAACCCCGTGTATGTAGCAGAAGGAAACAGTGGCGTTGCTTGTGCTTAAGCACATTGGGCAGTCGCTGTGTCAACCCATCTCATTGAGAGGCGTCCTCCTCCTCCCTAACCTCTACTAGAGGAAGCATGATGCCCTTCTCCAGAGGCCAGTCCCTCCTGAGTACAGGTCCAAAGTGCACAGGTTGAAATCTGTCCGTCCTTGCTTCTTGAAACCTACATTGGAATTTGTTTGGGGTGTTTTTTTGTTTTGCTTCTCAGCTTTCGTAAGACTTTTATTTTCTAGCTTATGACTTGGCTTTTGCGAAGTCTACCTCTTGCTGGTGCTTTGTGTGTAGCTTGTCTTGTCTTCTGAAAGCTTCTGAGCGCTCTTGTGCGCTGCCATTCTAAGGTGTCTTGGGGTGGATCCTTTTTAAGTCTCACGGGACTCGTTCTTGGGGGTGGTGGTGGTCTCTGTTCTCCACTCTGCAGGGTGCTCTGTAGACCTTTTTGATTTAGGATGTTTTCACTCCGGGAAGGTTTTCATATCATGAGTATTTGACCTTACTTTTTCCTTTTGGTAATTCCTGTAGGATACTCTTAAATTTCGTTGTGTTTAATCTGTTTTAATCTTCTTTGTTCGTAAAGGATTTTTCAAATTTATCATACCATTTCTTTTAGGATCAATCATGTTTGTATTTCGAGCTTGGAGGGCTCCCTCATGGATACTTTCATGTTTGTGTTATGAGTGTAACTATTATCCTGTTGAGATGGTCAATTGTAAAAAAAAATTGTGAATGTTTTTCTCCTATTCTCCATAATCTTTGTTTTCTCCAAGTCCCCCCAACCCTCACCTGGCCCCCCTTTTTTCTTTGCTCCTGCCATTCAAGTGAGAGACTTCCCTGAGATACCTGAGTGATCCTTTGTCTCCATTCATGTTTATGGGCAAGGCAGGGCAAGCTGGTTAGAAGTCCTGGGTATGTGGCGGTGCTTTCTGTCCTGAGAAGCCCCATGTTTGAGTAATCTGATAGGGACCTGGAGATTTCTCTGGGAACTTTCAACAGCATCTCTTTTATCTTGTATGACGGAGGCTTCTCTAAATAGCAATCTTCAGATTTAGGGCCGAGGGATAGGTCAGCCTTACAGCTGGTCTTCTGGAAGTCGAGAAGTAAAGGGAGGAGGAACTGAGCTAAATTTTATTAATTAGGATGTTTCATTGGTGTTTCTTGATGGCACAAGTCTAAATTCTCAACCATTCCATTCGTTCTCAACTCCCTCTGGGAGTCAAACGACCCTTTCACAGGGGTCGCCTGATTCATAACAGTAGCGAAATGACAGTTATGAAGTAGCAACAAAAATAATTTTATTGTTGGGGGGTCACCACAACATGAACTGTATTACAGGGTCATGGCATTAGGAAGGTGGAGAACAATTGCATTAGCCGAAAGGTGGTTGGTTCAAACCCACTCAGTGACCCCTTAGAAGGCAGACCTAGAAATCTGCTTCCAGAAGGTCACAGCTTTGGTAAAGCCTGTGACACACGGTCCTCTGTACACATGGCGTCCCTCGGGCTCTGACTTGACTAGACAGTGAGTGTAGCAACAACAATACCAAAAGTTGTATTCTGTGTTTTCAGCATGATCTTTTACTTCCTTGTTTAAGATGACTGGTATTCTGAAAACAAATTCTTGGTGGTTTGTCACTTTATGGATTAAACTTCTTTTCCAAGAATTTGAGTCGCCTGGCCAGGAAGGGGACAGGGAAAGAGATACAGGGGACTGAAGGCTTCCTCCATCAATCCAGTCTGCTGCTGCTTTCAGAAGTAACTGTTGCTTACGGCTCCAGTGGCCTTCTGGGGGGATCTGCAACAGGAAGAGACTTGCCTCTTGGTAGCTTCTTCTCCCCTATGCCCTTACCCAAAGTCTCGGGTTTTAGATTTCTTTAGACAAAACGTATCTACTTGTTTTCCCGTTCCCCCAAATAATGATTTCTCTGCCCTAACTTTCTTCTCTGCTGTCTTAGACTTTGTGTAATTAGGCCTTGGAAAATCCATGTACTGACAGCTAAGGAGAATTTTCTTGGGCTGTGGGTGGAAGGATGGGAGAAAATATTAAAAAGCAGGGTGTGCGCAGGAGACCAATTAAGTCAACTCTTAAAACATTGGAGAGAGACCATGAAGACAGCAAAGGAGCCCTGGTGGCACTGTGGCTAAGGCACTGGGCTGCTAACGAAAGGGAGACCATCAAACCCACCATCTGTCTCTCGGGAGCAGTGTCCCATCAAGTCTTCACAGCCTGGGAAGCTCTTTGGGTCGGCTCCACGCTAGTCCACAGGGCTTCTCGGAGTTAGGATGAACTCCAGCCTGGTGGGTTTATGAAGAACTAATTTTTCTACATATGTTTAAAATACTCAAAAACGTCTGCCGTCTCACTGCTAATGATGTTTCCAATGCACTGGAATTAGGAGAATTATAGACATTAATCAAAAGCAGATGTGGGGCCAACTTATATGCTTCCAGATACATCAAAGTAGAGGGCTGAACCAAGTGTGTGTGGGGGAGAGGGAGAGGGAGAGGGACAGAGAGAAACATCAGCCAGTAGGAAGGTAGGCAAGAGGTCTGCAATGACTAACTGCTGGAGCTTCGTGTAGGAGAAGCCTGCTGGTGGACCATACATCCTGCTTCCAAGCAGAGGTCTGAGGGAGAGAAAGTTCGAATTGGAGACGACCTCATCCTCGTCAGTGTGTCTTCTGAGAGATATCTTGTAAGTACCTCCCAATGAAAGTGTCACCTGCAGAATCTTCTCCCAGCGGGATAAGAGAACTGCGGCAAAAAACCAAACAAACCCGGAGAAGGATAGAACTTGAGAGGTGAAGAAATTCACTTCTCTACTAATAGATCATGGTGCCTTGAATTTAACTATTAGTCGACCCTTTGGATTATAGTGCCGTGTCCAGAAAACTCTATTAAGATGCACTGGGCACTATTGGAGAATGACAACTTATATTTTAGTGACTATTACTTTGAATTTATCACACTGCTTGGTTTCATTGCTCAGTGAAGAATCCTAGAAGAATGAGATTCAGGAAGAATAAGGTTATGTTGGTGGGGGAGGGGGAGAGAATTTAAATAAGTCAGTGTGAGAGGTGTTGCAAAAGGTTGAACGATTCAGGTAAGATTTTGCAGCTGGATAATGGGCAATATTGTTTTAAAGCTTGTGGAGGTCAGGCAAAAGACAGTACCTAAAGATCGGGAAATGCCAAAAATGAGCTTTACCTAAGAGCTTATCATATAACAAACCCCATGGGCAGGTGTTCACTCTGCGTAGTCCAAATGCTAGAGTGCATCCCCTGTTTGTCATTCCCCTTATCCTGTGAAGAATAGGCATATAAAATGCCATAACGGCTCCATGGTGGATCGGGGAGATCCAGCCAAGGGCATGAAGCCAACAGTTGTCGGCCTGCTCTGAGGCTGCCCATTCCTTCTTCCCTGTGGATGAAGTGCCCCGCTCTCAAGTGACTTCTAGACGGGGTGGGGGAATCACCCACAGGCTCTGTAGAAAGAGCCAGGTAACAGTGAGCTGGTTCATTTCAATTCTTGAAATGCTAGGTGAGCTGCTTCTACCTGTCCTGGACTTGTAGTTTAAAGGTGTCTCATTTCTGTTTCTGCTGCAGCATCTCTCAATATCAAATGGTAACATACAAGTGGATGCCTCCTTTATGCAAACACTCTGGAATGTACATCCTACGTGCTCGCGAAGTAGCATCGAAGAAGGTGTGGTTTTGAATAAGCATTCAGCTCTCAGCCTGCCAGTCTGTATTGTTCTGTCTGTATTGGCATTTTCTGCTTCCCAGTGCTCCACCGGGGTGCTTTGCTGCATGGCTTCTGTTTGCCTGAGCTGCTTTCTCTGATGTTGGTGTGGATGGGTTTCCGTCTTCCAATCCCACACACATCCCTGACTTTGTTTGTTGGTGTTTTAATCATTTGGAGTCCAAAAGATACAACTGGCTGCTCCCATAAAGATCCTAAGCAGGGTCACTATGAGTCAGAATTAACTTGATGGCAGTGGGCTTGGGCTTAGCATTCTATGCATTGAGGGCTTTGAGATACCGTTTCCCTTATGCCCCTGAACTTTCATCTTTATTTACGGTTACAAGTGGTAAGCGTACAGACCTCAGCAACTTGTGATTTAGAAGAGGTCGTCTGCCAAGAAGGTGACATTGTTGATATTTCTCCCCAATGCATCTCTCTGTACAGGTGGGAGAAGGACTCGCCTTACAATAAGAGTGTGTGTAGCCATTTGTTTTTCACTTGTATTTAAATGACATGTTCTCCGTATTTCATTTTCCCCTTGGAAATAAGATCAAGCTTCATTCAACATACCTTAGTCTTTGGAGCTAGTCAAAGTCGAGACGCACTTTCAAGTTAGGTGATAGACATACTGGTTTAACTATACAGGTCCCTGTTAGCACACACAACAGCTAAGCACTTTGTCGCGAACCCAAAGAATCAAACTGCCCACTTCAAGCACACCAGCTGGTCTGGGAGAAAGGTGTGGCCATCAGCTTCTATAAAGATTTACAGCCTTGAAGAGAGAGCTGTTCTACTCTTTCGCTGAAGTGTCACCAGGAGTCCGAACAGAGTCCAGGGCAGTGAATTTGGGGGCTTTACAACCCTCATACGTAAGTCCATAGCTGAGCAGAACAGCCAAATGTCAGTGACCTATGGGCTATGACATTGTATTCTATGTTTTTGTTTTTTTAAACATTCACATCATAGGCTTTCGACCTGTTTTTAATCCTGGCTCTACTCATTTTGAACTTGATTTGCCTTTCTATGGTGTGATGTTTGAAAATCGAAAGGACACTGCGAGTTGCCCCGGGGACACGCCAACTTCCGAAGGTGACTTTGTCAAATGGAAACATCAGGAGATGACACGGTCTTACCCTTTTCAGCCGCACATGTTAGACTTATTTTTTAAAAAGCAGAATTTGTGGCTCCCTCCCCTTGCTGTGCACCCTAATTTACTCACTATCCTCAGTCTGTTGACAACCATCCCCTTCCTCTCAGAAATCAAGATCTATCTGGGTTTCAACTTTTGAATTTCAACTCAATATTCTCTGTTATGAAATGAAAACGTGTCATTTTCCCTGGAAGGATAAAGCTCTTTCCCGCACCAACAGAGGGCTTGCGGGGATTAATTAAGGAGCGCTTGAAAAGCTTCTCAAAAAGGCCCTTCACGCATGCTGAGTCCTTGTGATAGACCCCGAGTAGCTCATCTCTGGAGTCCTCCTGCCTGCCGCGTCCACTGGGAGAAACCCACTTCAGCCACGTGAGTGTAAGGGATTCTCCTCATGACACTGGCTCCTGACTGTTGCCCCCACATGTTCCAGGAGGAAAAGGTGTGACATAGCAGCACTCAGCGGTTTTCTCTGTGAGTAAACTATTGACTGCAGGAGCCAAAGAACTAGAAATGATGAACTCCAGTATATCTTGAATTACTTTTGGAGGGCAGTCTCGTCAGTGAAAAATAAAATGAACATGAATGTTATACAGAAGTTAGCATCTCAGCGATTTTACATGTGTCATCAGACGGTAGTATGTTCACCATGTTGTACAACCGTCATATCCTTTTCCACTCTTAGTAGAAACTGAACAAAAACCAAACCAAATGTACTGCCATCGAGTCGATTCTGATTCGTGTCGACCCTGGAGGATGGAGGAGAACTTCCTGTGGGTTTGCAGTACTGTATGTCTCTGTGGAAAACCTCCTCTTTCTCCCACCTACGTGGCTGTTAGTTTTGAACTGCTGACCTTGTTGTTAGCAGCCCAACTCCTAAGCCACAATGTCACAGGGCTCCTAACGGAAACTAAGTGCTCCTTGATTTCCCTAGTTCCCCTACCTGCCACCTCCTGGTAGTCACTAACAAGCTTTGGTTTCTATACATTTACCCATTCTAGATATTTTGTGCAAATGGGATCATATATTATTTGTTCCCACACCCCCTTTTTTTCCCTGAGCTGTTTTTTTTCTCTTATAAATCATTTTATTGGGAGCTCTTATAACATTCCATACATCAGTTGTATCAAGCACATTTGTAGATATGTTGCCATCATCATTTCCAAAGTATTTTCTCTCTACTTGAGCCCTTGGTATCAGCTCCTCTTTTTTTCCCCCACTCTTTCCCACCCTCCTACCCCTGTGACCCTTGATAAATTATAAATTATCTTACACAATTTGCACCCTTTTATGTCTGGCTATTTCGCTTGGCAGAATATTTGGGGGGATCATAGCATGTATCATAACTTCCTTTCTCTCTTGCACCATTTTCCTTACATGCACAATTCAGTGTCATTAATGACCTTCATTCTACTGTGCAGCCGTTAGCACTATCCATGTCTAACTTGGGTTTTGCTTTTGAATGAATAATATCCCATTATACTGATGAAAGAGGAGCCCTGGTAGCACAGTGGGTGACGGGTTGAGCTATTAACCTCCTGTGTCGGTGGTTTGAATCCATCAGCCACTCTATGGGAGCAAGATGAGACTGGTTGTTCCCATAATGATTTACAACCTCAGAAATCAAAGTTTTACAGTGTTCTATCGAGTCGCTGGGAGGTGGAGAGGACTCTGGCAGTGGGTGTGCATGTATGTGCTTCATTTGATCCGTTTACATGCCAGTAGGCCCTTAGGGTGTGTCCACCCTTTGGCTATGGTGAATACTTCCCAAATAGTACCAAAACTGGTGTGAAGGAGTCTGTGATCAGAGGGGAGAGGATACAATGAGACTACAATAAGATCCAGGAGGCTGGGCAAGTAATACCTGGAATGGAGACTATCTGGGAGACATTTGAGAAACACTAGACCTGTTGAAAAATGAAAACACCCTTCTCTCCCCTGGTGTGACTTCTACCCACGGCTTCAATCATTTCCCCAAATAGTTTAAGACAGGCCCTGAGGTGATCTAGTTACATGATTCTTTTTAAAAGCCTGATGCAGACATTAAGCATATGAAGTCCATTCGTCTCCAGAGAACAGACTAGCTGGGAGGACTGTTAATTCAGGGGAATAACAAACCCCGTTTCTCCATGTAAGGTGAAGCTCAGGGAGAGGCTCCTCTCCTATTGTGTTCTTTGAGTGAAGGCTCAGGCTTGGAGTCACCATGTCCTTGAAGTTCTGAGCTCCAGGCTCCCGACATCCCCTGTCCTTGTTCTGAAAGCAAAGTGCTTGTCGGTAGCAGCACCTGCACATGTCCGTTTCAGGTTGCTGGGAGTCATCAGTGCTGTAGGACTCACAGCCAGGGGAGATCCAGGTGGTTATGAAATAGACTGAGGGGTTACCTTCCTTTAAGACAGAACCCAATAACAGCTCTTCTCCCAGCACTTCCTTTGTCTGCCCATAGCTCCACTTTGGTTTGAATTTGGCCTCAAAATATACAAGTAGGATTTCACCCAGGAATTTGGTGTTGGGGTGTCCCTTGTATTTATCACCTAGATAATTAGAAACTCTTTAGCATCTTAATTTTTCATTTTGGCCCTTAGTAATACTTGTTTTTATTTTTATCTTTTGATGTCGAACTTGTTGATGTTGGAAACCCTACTTGACTTCCAGGGTTAAAATGGTTTTGACTTGCTTGTCCTTTCTGCCAGAGGCTTGAATTCATCGAATATGTCATTTCCTGTATACATATCTAGTGGGTATTCTTTAAGTTGCTCACAAATTTACCCTTTGTTACAACAACAAAGAGGAAGTGCTGAAACCCTGGTGGGGACTGAGCATGATAGTGGGACAGGAGGA